TGTGTTGGGAGGGCGGGTGGGAGTGAACGAGACGGCTTGCACCTTGTGGGCGGGAAGTGTTGTGTTCCCTCCCCCATACCCCGTAACCCCCTACCCTGGGTCAGGAGGGGAAGGCCGCGAGGTGTCAGAGGGTCTTTGTGTCCCAAGATGGCCCTAAGAGGGCCCCAGAGGGCCGAATATGACCTCCAAGATCGCCCCAAGACGGCTCCATGTGGCCACTGACCCTCTCAAGAAAGCCACCAAGAAGCCAGCATCCTTCAAGAGCCTGCAGGATATAACTGTGTTCTGCATTCTCGCCTACGCTGTATTGTTGCACGCTGTGTTTTACGATTTGGAAGGTATACGTGTTGCAGTTTTGATGTCATGCACAACTGTGTAGGTGTTGCTTGTTTTCGTAATGCCTGTTTGCGGGTTGTGTTTACGTGGTGTGTTTCATGTAGTGAGCTGTTACGTTGTGTGTGCTACGCTGTGGTTTACGTTGTGGTTTGTAGATTGCGCTGTTTTACGATGTGCCACGCTGTGGGTTGTTTTACTTTGCTTGTTTTTGAGGTGTTGGTATTTAAATGGTGTTGTTACGTGGTGATTTGTACACACCGACCTGGTGTTGGTTGCGCCGTGCTGTTCGTACGTTGTGTTCTACGTAGTGTTGTTGACCGGTGTTGTGTTACAGTGTCCTGCAATAGATTGTAGGTGCTGGTGTGTTACGTTGTGCTTGCTCGCGCGATGTGGTTACCTGGCGTGTTGTGTGTTACGTGGTGTTTGTGTTCGCTGCGTTGTTGTACGCTGCTGCGTTTGTTTACGTGTGCTTTTACCATGCCGCAACCGTAAAACAGCAAAGCGCAGAACAACACATCGTAGAAAACACTGCGGACAAAGCACACTGCATCGAACACGCTGCGTTTGGGGGGTTTCCGAGAATGCGCTGTAAGTTACTGCTTATTTGGTCAAGTCGTTCCCTAACACGCTCTACCACGCAACACCCGACACTCCATACCACAGCCGTGTAAACAAAACGCAACGTAAAACAACACAACGTGGAACACACTGCGTAGAAAGCGCTGCGTATAGTACGCGGCGCTTGGGTTTTGCCAACACCTCCCATCACATTCTCTCTACCACAAGAGCACGCCTCCAACAACTAGAAGTTCAAGGCGCCTGGCAACAGAAACAGCGGTCCGCGGAGAAGAATCACAAGTGCGCGCAGACAGATGTTTTGGCAAGCGTATTTGCATTGTCCTTTTTGGAGGCGCGATCTTGTCTACGGCAAGTGTCTGGTTCGTTGCATTGCCTCGCTTTTTGCCCAAGAGCTCTCAGCTCCTAAGCGAAGGGCGCCTGCACCATGAAAACCTTTTGCGCGAAGGACTCTGGGATGCGCGTGCAAACACAACGTAGCAAACACTACGTAGCAAACACTACGTAGTAACCACACCGTTGAATACACTACGTTGAAAACCCAACGTAGGCAGCACCATGTAGACAACACCACCTAAAAATCACAGCGTAGAAAACACTGCCTAGAAAGCAATGCGCAGAAAACGCTTCGCAGCTTAATTCTATTCGATGTTCAATTATCGATTTCACTGTTAAGAGAACCCGTGCCACCAAGAGGCCCCCAAAACGTCCCATGAGGACATCAAGAGACAACCGAAGAGACTCTGAGGGCATCCAAGAGGCCTCTGGCCTTTCTGCTCGCGCTCCTCCTCCGCTTCCTCTTCCTCATCCGCCTATTTGTCCTCCCTTGTCCCTCCTCCCACTCCCCCTCCGCGTTCCCCTCCTCCCCCTCCTCCTCCTCCTCCTCCTCCTCCTCCTCCTTCTCCCCCGACTCCTTCTCCATATTCCTCGTTTTTGTGTATGGCGACGTCCCCGGCCTGTCCTTCCATCGCATGCTCCTCCACGTCCCTGATCAGGGCAGCTCGCCCAGGCATCGTTTCTGGATGGGCTGGCGCGGTTGCGCGAAGCGTCCACACCAGGACTTGAAGCACGGCGCAGAAAATCGATCAACACCCCCAGACTCGGGGACACGCCGTGGATGACCACAATCGGTATCACTCGATCTATTTGATCCGATCGATCTCACACTCGCTATGGCTATCGACCTCACAATAAATATCACGATCGACCTCACTATCGATCTCGCAATCTATCTCACGTTCGGTCTCACTGTCGACATCAACGTCATCATCATCATCATCATCATCATCAGCATCATCATCATCATCGACATCATCGTCATCAACGTCATCAACATCATCATCATCATCATCATCAGAATCATCATCATCATCATCACCATCGGGGCACCATCATCATAACCACCTCATCACCATCATCATCAACATCAGTATCATTATCGGGACACCACCATCGTCACTATCAGCATCATCAACATAATCATCGGGACACCATCATCATCATCATCGGAACACCACTATCATCATCATCATCATCTCATCATCGCCATCATGAACAGAATCGTCAATCATCATCATCATCATCATCATCATCGGGACACCACCATCATCAGTAACATCATCATCACCAACACATCACCAGCATCATCATCGGACACCATCAGCACTGTTATCATCATCATCATCATCATCAGCATCACCCTCATCATCGTCATCATCGGGACCACATCATCATCAGCATCACCATCACCATCGGGCCTCCACCATCAACATCAAAATCACCTCATCATCACCCTCATCATCAACGTCCTCATCATCGAACACCATCATCGTCACAATCATCATCATCAACATCAGCATCATCGGGACACTATCACCATCATCATCATCATCGACAGTATCATCATCGGGACACCATCATCAACAGATTCTTCATCACCATCATCATATCACCATCTCAGCATCGGCAACATCATCAAGATCATCAACATCATCATCAAACTCATCATCGAGGCACAATCATCATCAGCAACATCAGCATCATCAACATCACCATCATCGGGACGCCATCATCATCACCACCATGGCCATCACCATCATCACAATCATCGGGACACCATCATCGTCACCACCATCATTACCAATATCATCATCATCATCATCATCGGGACAAAATCATGACCAAAAAATCAAAAACACAACCAGCATCATCATCTCATTATCATCATGAAGAGCATCATCAACATCATCATCATCGGGACAATATCATCAGCAACATCAGCATCATCATCATAATCATCATCATCATCGGGACACCATCATCATCGACACCATCATCATCATCATCGCTGGGACACCATCATCATCAACATCAGCATCATCATCATCGGGCCACCACCATCTAAACCATCATCATCACCTCATCATCATCCTCATCATCAACATCACCATCATCCTCGGGACACCATCGCCGTCATCATCATCGTCATCAACATCATGAGCATCATCGGGGCACCATCCGCGTCAGCATCATCATCATCATCATCATCAACAGCATCATCATCAACCTCATCATCATCATCATTATCATCATCATCATCATCGGGACACCATCATCACCTTCATCTTCATCAGCATCATCATCTCATCATCTCATCATCATCAGGATCATCAACATCATCGTCATCATCATCGGGACACCACCATCATCATCATCATCAACATCAGCATCATCAACATCATCATCGGGACACCATCATCATCACCACCATGGCCATCATCATCATCATCATCATCAACATCGTCATCATCATCATCATCATCATCAACATCATCATCGGGACACCGACGGGACACCGGCGGGACACCGCGCGACACCGGTTGCCGGAAGGGAGACTTTTGGTCCGGCCGCGCCTCAGCCACAGGCGGGACATTTCTCGCCCGCCCACGCAGCTTCGCCTCGCCCGCACGCACGGCACGCACGAACACGAAACCGAAACCGATTTCCTGGTACGGGGGCTCTCCGTTCCACTTCGATCTCACCCCCTCACCTCCGATAGATAAATATACATTATATATATGCGTGTTTGCGCTGTATGGGACGGGCGGAAAGAAGAACATGCTGGCAAACAACATTATTGCGGCTAGTCTTACTGATCACCCACCCGTGGGCATCGCAGCGTAGAATCCCCAACGAACGCTACCGTACACCGTGAGCTCGACAAGGAGATGCGAACAACCTGTGTTTGCTCCGCATCTTCTTGACCATCTCGCAGGTAGAAAACTTGCGACTCGCCTTCCTGATCGCCCACCCGGGGGCACCGCTGCGAAGAATCCCCTAACAAACGCAACCGTACACCGTGAGCTGGACTCGTTCCGCATCTCCTTGTCCAGCTCGCAGGTACCTGGGTCGTCTTCCTGATCGCCCACAGGTGGGCCCCGCAACGAAGAATCCCCGACAGACGCCACCGTACACCGCAGCCAGCGCAGCGACACCAGGCCCGAGCAGATCCAAGGGCGAAGCTATCTGCCCCTGGGGCTGGATCGACAGCTCTACAACGACAGGCAGCAAGCTATAGTAGAACCCGGCTGATGAGGCCAAAGGGGGGCGAAAGTGGAGGTGGAGGCGGAGGAAGGGGAGGAAGGAGGGAGGATTGTTCTTGACATCCACGGCCAATGATCCCCCTTAAGGGGGTGGTCAACAAGAGAACGGCTCGACTGAGACCCCGTCCTTCTTTGGGTGGAGACCTTTGCCGAGCCCTCTCTCGGAGGAAGGAGGGAGGAACAGGGTTTGGGGGAGATGGGACAGTGTGAAGGACCACCAGGCCCATGACTTGTGGAATTGCTGCCTACCTCCAGGTACGCCCTGCGCCAAGGCATAATGCGTCTTCCTTGTCTCAGATTTCCTCCTAGCCCGCTCCTCCCCCTTCCCCCTCTCTCCTTCCCTTACCTTCCCCTCCCCTCCCCTCCTCCCACTCGCCTCCCTCCCCCTCCCTTCCTTTCCTTCACCCTCCCGTCCCCTCCACTATCCACCCCCCCCGTCCCCTCCCCTCCCCCCGCGTCCCCCTTCCCTGTCCCAATCCTCGCCGCCCCTTATTACGCCCGCTGCTCCTCTACCCTCACGTGCCGGCGGACCTCCGCACTACATGCGGCGCCGTCATGCACCGCAGGCGCGCGCCCCGAGGCACGCGTGACCTCACGTGGCCGTAGATGGTGCGCCGCGCACCACAAGCAGACGCGGCCCCCACCGCCTGCGGCTGTACTCAGCAGGAGAGGAAGCGGGCTGCGAAGGAAGACGGTCCTGAAACCTGGGGGCGTCCCCCGATACCGCTTAGAAAAGCACGCTCCGCTGCTCGAAAAGCAGCCGCTCGCAAATGGCCTGGATCCGCCGCGGGGGGTTCACGACCCATTACCTACATCGTAGCAAACCTGTTTTAGTTTTCTGATGTTTGCGAGTACGGTGGTGGCGCTCGTTAAGGGAATGTGCTGAGGAGACTGCCGGAGGATCCCTTATCTGATGAGGGCGGCGGTGATATCCATGGCCGCTCCACGATTGGAGTGGAGGAGAAGGAGGAGGGGTAGGAGAAGGAGAAGGAGGAGGAGGAGGAAGAGGAGGAGGAGGGGTAGGAGGAGCAGGAGGAGGAGGAGGAGGAGAAGGATCAGGACGAGGAGAAGGAGGAGGAGGAGGAGTCCAATGTCCCCACCGCAGCGGAGGCTGGCGACGCGGGGAGCCTCGCGGCCGCGAGAGCGGAAGACGTGCCGCGCACACGCAGGCCTCGCGGCGGCACGCCACGGAGCGCGTTCCGCGCGCCGCGGGCCTCGCGGGAGTGCGCGCAACGGCCGCGCTGTCAATGAGCATCGTTTAACCGACCCGTATCCCCGATCCTCCTCCTCCTCCTCCTTCTCCTCCTCCTCCTGCTCCTCCTCCTCCTCCTCCTCCTCCTGCTGATCCTCCTCCTCCTCCTCCTGCTCCTCCTCCTCCTCCTCCTCCTGTTGCTCCTCCTCCTCCTCCTCCTGCTCCTCCTCCCCACTGGCTGATTTACCCCCCTAGATGGGGATGCAGGCTGTTTCCTGCAGGTTTCGAGGGGGATAGCCCCAACTGGGGTGCTGAGATGGTTGGGGTCTCGACGGGGACGGGGATGGGGGTCGGTGAAAGGATACCCGTCGGTCGGAAGAAGTTGGCAGAAGCATGGAAGTAGGAAGGCGTTGGAAGTAGACTGGGTCGCCGCCCGCCCCATGAAGAGAAAGGAAAAGGAACAAGCTCTCGTCGATTGATCGGCGGTGGACAAACCTCCCTGTAATAAGGCTCCCCTAAGACCGAAACCGACGGACCTGGACCCGCAAAAATGACGGCCGCGACGCCCTCTCGCGAACCGAATACGGCCAATTCCTTCATCGACGTGTCAGGGTAGGAGGCCTATCAACCTCCGAATTGAAGCATAGGAAGACGCCTGAAACATATTGGGACCTGGGGATCCAGAAACACCTCCTCTCCAACGACCGACGGGCACTGAGTTGACGGGGGAGGCTTCAGGGCTCCATCGCCCTGGCCCTGGCTGCCCGCGCCAAGCTGGCCGACCTCGAAAGAGGAAAAGCGGCAGTATACAGCAAGCACAAACTTCCGACGGTCCGCGCGGATTTCTTGGACCTGCGCTGGGCCCCCCCTCCCTGGCGCGCGGAGCGCGCCAGGGGCGGCGCCAGAGGCGCCGCCAGGGGGGGCCCAGCGCGGATCCAAGAAATCCGCGCGGAGCGCCAGAAGCTGATGTTTCTGGCGCTTTTGCCTCGGTGGTTCAGAGATGGGGTCCTGAGGGGTAGGATCCCAAGGACGAGGAGCCTCAAACAACGTAAATCTACCCTCGGATCCCTTCCTTAGTGGGCCCCGGAAACGGCAGGGCCGTTTTTTCACCGTTTCCGAAAAAAAGTCCATTGAAAATGGAAACGGCAAAAAACGGCGACCGGAAACGTCAACAAAAACGGCTCCAGGATTGGAATCGGAGCGGGAGCCCGTACAAGAACGGCGACGGAACCGGCAAAAACGGTGTCGGAACCGGCGAAGAAACGGCAAAACGGAACCGGTAAAAGAACGGCTCTGCCGTTTCCAGGGCCCACAATGACGAACCGACAACACACACACACACACCCATACCCATAGGGGGGTCGGAGAGGGCTGTGGGTGCGTGTTGTCGGATGGGGGCCCCCGTTCGAGCGGGAGCGTTCCCCAGGGTCCGACAACCCGCACCCATACCCATAGCCAGTCCTCCTCCCAACGACCCCCCTATGGGTATGGGTGCGTGTTGTTCGCTCGTCACACTGAGCTCAGGACCCCGTCCCTCAGGACCCCATCTTTGAGCCACCGATGTCCTTCCTCGAGACCTGGCGTCCTGCTCTGGCCCCGCGGCCGGGCCCGGAGCCGCCGGGGCGCCCGGCTGCTGCGGCCCGCTCGGGCCCTCGCAGAGAGCAGAAGATCCGCACTCACAGCGGTCACCCCGACACGCGAAGCCGGGGGCGGCAAAGAGGGGGGTGATGACTGGGGGGGATGGATATCATGGCGGGGGCGAGGATGTTTCCCCAGACTTCGTGGCGCCTCTTCTCGTTTCATTACGTCCCCGGCCCCCCCGCTGGGCCGCGCACATGCCGCCGGCCATGATTTGCACCCCCCCCTCTTGGACACCCCCCTCTTGGCCGCTCCCGAGTTTAGTAAACGCACCCAAAGGATGAATCGAACAGGGCAGAGCTGTCTAATAAGCGCTTCAGGCCGTTTAGTAAACGCCACGTATGGTGTCCGGGTGGTTTTTCCTCCCTTGAGGGAGGACAGGTGGCCCTCCTGCGGTGTGGCGGCGGCGCCGGGGAGCATCGCGGCGAGCAGCAGCTGCTGCTCGCTCTGCGGCTGGTCCTCCAGTGGCGCGGCGGCCAGCTGCTCCTGCTGCTGCTGCTCCTTCTGCTGCTCCTTCTGCTGCTACTTCTGCTGCTGGTGCTGCGCGTACTGGAACTCGCGCTGCAGCCGGTCCTACCGCTGCAGCTCGTCCTGCGCCTGGTCCCGCAGCCGCGTGTTCCGAAGCAGCGTCGCCTACCCTCCTCGCTCCTCTCCACCCTCCTCCTCCCTCCCTCCCTCCTCTCCAACCTCCTCCCTCCCTCCCTCCTCCCTCCCTCCTCCCTCCCTGCATCCCTCCATCCATCCGCCTCTCATCCCTCCTCATCTTTCTCTCCCTACTCCCTCCTCCTCCCCCTCCTCCTCTTCCTTCTCTTCCTCCTCCTCCTCCTCCTCCTCCTCCTCCTCCTCCTCCTCCTCCTCTCTCCTCCTCCTCCTCCTCCTCCTCCTCCTCCTCCTCCTCCTCCTCCCTCCTCCTCCTCCTCCTCCTCCCCTCCCCCTCCTTCCTCCTCCTCCTCTCCTCCTCCTCCTCCTCCTCCTCCTCCTCCTCCCCCTCCTCCTCCCCCTCCGCCTCGCCCTCCCCCTCCTCTTTCTCCTCCTCCTCCTCTTCCTCCTCCTCCTCCTCCTTCTCCTCCTCCTCTCCGTAGCCATTTTGGCTCAAGCGAGCCGGCGAACGGGAGGCCCTCGCGGACGCGCGCCCGCGGCGGGCTCGTGGGCGCGCGCCAGAGGCCGCGATGAAGACACGGCGCTGGGCGGTTGCCAGCGCCCGCACGCTGGCGCGGCGGCTTCGGCGGCAGGCGCGCGATGAGCGCGGCCTGAGCCGCTCCGCGGCGCTGGCGGCGCGCACCAATTCGATGCGCGCGGCGCTGGCTGCCCACTGGGAGTTGGGCGACGCCCTTGGTTGGCACCCCGCCGCCATGGGCGAGGCGCTCAGCGCGGCGAGGCTCCTCAAGCTCCCCACGATGGCGGTCGAGGCGGCCGAGGAGCTCTGCGGGCACGGCAACTGGGGGCGGCATGCGCCCCCTTCCGGGAGTAGTAGCCTCCCTGGACCAGCCCAGGAGCCCGTGGTCAAAGGGGAAGTGCTGGAGGACTTCAGGGGCAAGCTTTACGGCGTGCGGCCGCAAGACGAGGAGCTCCTGCTCGCCCTCGGCGCTTGTTGAGCAGGGACCGACCGTCCTGGCATTCCTATAGTCCTACCACGAAATGTTCTTAGAACCCCAAAATGTTCTACGAACAAAAACAATGTTCTTAGAACATAAGCCCGATGTGTGAAACCAAGACAGTCCAAGCCAGAAGTGTTCTAAGAACATTTCGCGGACACAAGAGGTTCTTAGAACATTGTTCGGTAGGGCTATAGGCGAGCCAAGACGCTTCTCCACTGCTTGAGTTTGCGGCGAGCCGGGTGGCGGCGGCATCACTGGCGCGCCGAAGGCTGGCGAGGGCGAGGAGCGGGACAGCATCAGCCTGGCGAGCGGGGACGAGCACGAGCTGGGCGACAGCTTCGGGGAGCTGGGCGTGGAGGAGATCCAGGAGAACACGGCGCAGGTCCAGGAGACGACGCTGCAGGAGGTCGACGTGGAGGAGATCTTCGACGGCCAGTCGAGGCTCGTCGGCGGCCAGGTCACCATCGTGGGCCACCAGGGCAGGACCCAGCCCATCATCGGCGCGGCGTTGTGCTTCGGCGACTCGCTGGGGGCCCTGGAGGAGGAGGAGGAGGAGAGCATCGACGGCCTGCCGACGCTCGACGGCGGCCAGGTGAGCAGCAAGGGCCACCAGGGCAGGACCCAGCACATCTTCGGCGCGGAGGTGTGTGGCTTCAGCGACTCGCTGGGGGCCCTGGAGGAGGAGGAGAGCATCGACGGCCTGCCGAAGCTCGACGTAAGCCAGGCGAGCGTCAAGGGCCACCAGGACAGGACCACGTACATCATCGACGCGGAGGTGTACATCGGCGACTCGCAGGAGGCCCTCGAGGAGCAGGAGGGCATCGACGGCCCGCTGAAGCTCGACGGCGGCCAGGTGAGCAGCAAGGGCCACCAGGGCAGGACCCCGCACTTCTTCGGCGCGGAGGTGAGCACCAGCGACTCGCAGGGGGTCCTCGCGCGGTGGGGGCCCGCACAAACAACCCCCTCCCTATCGCGACCGAGGAGCGCGACGACCGCGACTACGGGACCAGCGGCGAGTTCGACGCCCACGGGGCCGCGCGGGCTCTACGAGTCGCTTGGCTGGCACTGGCCCGCAAGGGCCGCAGGGCGAAGCTGCTGGGCACGAGCGGCCCACTTCTGCGGGCCTCGAGGGGCGGCGCGGCCGCAAGAGTGTGGGGGAGGCACGTTTCCTGGCTGGGGTTCGAGGTCCTGATCAGATCAGGCAGCACATCCAGGACGTGGAGGAGTAGCTGCCTTAGTGGGCGATGGGCTGCGGCATGCCGCTGCCGCCGCTTGGCTACCCCCCGTTCAGGCGGCTCCGTGACTGCCTAGACGAGGCCGCGCTGGGCTTCCCCACCGCTGCGGGTGCTGCCGCGCTGGCCCGTCGGCACAGCCCGAGCTGGCTGGAGAGGCGCGACGCTTTCGAGCGCGCCGTGCGTGAAC